GGGAATTTCTCCCTGCACCACCCACTCCCAGTTGGCATCACCTTTCCTCCACTACAATATTACCCTGGGGGTGTTTGGCCTTTCTGGGTTTTCTTGGAGGTGGGTGGTTCAGATGAGGCTGGACAATCCCTGGTTCTTACTGTTTGCTGAGGGTGAGCCCATTTTGGGCTGTAAGGCCTGAGCTGAAGGTGCTGGGCAGAGGAGGATCATCTCCAGCACTGGGGAAGATCATCATGGCTTGGAGCATTTCCATCCATCTTTCCTGACTGCTCTGAGGGCTCAGGGATGCTCATCCCTTCCCCTGGCACAGCAGCCAGGGTGAGTGCCCTCTCTGCTGTACCCTTAGCAGGTGTTAATAGCACAAACAGGCACATGTGCAAAGTTCTGCTGCTGCAAAATGTCCTTTCCTATGTATTCTTCAGGAATTGTGGGTTTAACATTTGCTTTGTGTGAGAACATTTACCCACTGGATCTACAGCACAGGTCAGCTCAGAGGGAAATGTTCTCTGCTTGTTCTTGCCACACAGGCACAACTGGAGAGTTAGAAAGCAAAAAAAAAAAAAGGGGTCAGAAACAAGGCAGTGACTCGTGGCAAAGTGCAAGAGCTACAGGGGGGATCCCTCAGGGATTTGTGTCTGTTGGGGTGGCCAAGATGATACTGAATTGCTGCCTCTCCAGCCTGGAAGACCCTCCCTGACACAGGGCTGTGTCTCTCTGCTCCCCCACCAGCACTAAGGAGCTCCAGCAACATCCATTTGCAGCTTTAGAGTAAAAGGAACCCGAAAGAGCAACATTTGCAAAGTTGAAATGAGGGTGGTAAAACACGAGTAGGGAACTGTGGCACTGCCCTCGTGTCCTCATTCCTCTGGGTGCTGTGTCTCTTAACTGGGTCTAACTGGGTGCTCTCCCCACAGTTTGACATGCAGAGGATAACGCTGGAGGAGCTGAAGCACATCCTGTACCACGCCTTCCGCGACCACCTCACGATGAAGGACATCGAGAACATCATCATCAACGAGGAGGAGAGTCTCAACGAGAACTCTGGCAACTGCCAAACAGAGTTTGAAGGTGAGGGAGGAACTTTCCGGGTTTCTAAACAATTATCCTCTTCCTGATTTGACTGTGAAACCCACTCTGTGCCGTGACATGCCATGGGCAGGGAGGTGTGATGTTAGTGGGGAGTTATTTTAGAGAAGCAGTGGCACACCTGGGGACCTGCAGAGCTGCCATCAGCCTTCCTCCATGGATCAGTAAAGCTGAGCCTGGTTCAGGCAGGAGGAGGAACTACTGGGTGCTTTGCCTTATGGGATGGGGTTCAGCCAAAGGGATGTGCAGTCCATGCTGAGGTGAGTGTCTAAGACAGACTGAATTTCCCTACAGAAATTTCCACATTTCCCTCAGGCTGTCATGGAAAGACTTCATTGGCCCTGGTAGGCCCTACCAAGGTGTGTTAGGCTCTTCCAGCTTTCTGTTGTCTTTCCATAAACAGAAAAAGGTCTGCTCTGGGCTCCCAGGACAGTTCCTGTCCCTGCACTGGAACACCAGCAAGGAGCAAGGGTGGTGCCTCTGTACCCATGGCCTGGAGCACCTCTTGTTCTGAGCTGCAGGTTCAACCAGGACAGCTCATCTCAGCACCTGAGAGTGTCTGCAAAGCCAAGGGCTAAGCAGAGCTCAGAGGGAGTCAGAGAAAGGGAAACATTTGCTTCCTTTCATCAGTGTGAGAAGACCACCAAGTGCTCCCCAACTCAGCCTCTGCAGTGGGGTTTGCACTTTGACAGAGCTGACACTGGCAAGAACATTCCCTCTTTTAAGGCATCTCAGGAGAAGGATTTTCTTGGCCAGAGGAGCTTGTGCTGCTCCAAAGCATTGCTGGCTGGAACAACTGGAGCTGTCCAGAGAAGCTGTGGCTACCCCATCCCTGCAAGTGTCCAAGGCCAGGTTGGAGCAACCTGGGCTAGTGGAAGGTGTCCCTGCTCATGGCAGGGCCTGGAACAAGATGATCTTTAAGTTCCCTTCCAACCCAAACTGTTCTTTGACTCTCTGAAATCAAGTGCAGAAGAGTCCAAGGAAATACCCCCAGAGAACCTGCAGGGTTGAGCACAACCCCCTGGGACAGCCACTGTGCTTTGCCACCCACAGCACTGCCACTTTCTGTGGGCCATCTGGGGGGAAATTCTGATACTCTGAGGGGTCAGAGAAGCTTCTGAAAGGGCACCAGGCCAAGACAATGAAGCATCTTTCAAACAAAGCAAAACTGAACCTATTAGTGCAATTCTTAGCCTGGCTAATGAATGGCATTCAGCAGCTCTATCCAGCACACTGAATACTGCAGGAGAGGTGGAGAAGAGCACAGCTGAATTTTAAAAAGCCTGCAGGAGAGAGGAAAGCAGCAACACTCTCTGAATCAAGCCAAGCACCATTTTTTTTGTTCCTCCTGGAGAGCAGCAGGGAGGAAGAGATGCTGCTTATTGAATGGAGCTGTCAGTCCCCACTGACCTGCTGATTCACTGGAGGCACGAGCCAGTTCAGGCTCATTTCAGCTCTGGGGCTTGGGTGAACCATCCCAATCACCAGGAAAAAAAATTGGGTCCAAATACCTAAATGCTCAGCAGCTCATTTTGGAAGTCCCAGCTTCCAAAAGTGCAGCAGGAACAGCTTTTCTCGTGGGATGTTGGCATTGCTGGTGCCAGGCAGAACCTGGAAGCAAAACAGCCCCTTTTTTAGATGTTAAAAATACACACAGACAAATCCAGCAGGGAATACAGATCAACTTGACCCTGTCAACAGCAGTGCAAAGTTTTGCCTCAGGTCCCAGAAGAAGGGACAGTTCTGGTCCGTGGCAGCTCTGACAGGAGCATTTCTCCCAGGAAAAGGCAGGCTGGGAGCAGGTTGTGTCCCTGCTGCTCTCCAGGTTGGACATGCCATTACCTGAATGACCCAATTCTGCTCTCAGAGTTCCCAATTCCCAAACACCAAGATCCCTACAGGGCTGAAAAGCAGAGCTTTGAGGGTCTCCTGGGTCAGTGACACCCCGGGAGAGCTGTCTCCATGTGAATCACTCACGTGTGGAGCAAAGGAGATGCTTTTTGGGTATAATTCCTGGAGTTTATTTTAGGTGCCACCTTGGGATGAGATGAATTGCACCTTAAAAAGCAATTCAACCCTTCAAATAGCAATTCAACCCTTCAAATAGCAATTCAACTGTTCCTCTCAGCCCACAGAACCTCCCACCTCTATTTAACGGACATTTCATCCACCTCATTGAAGAGTCTTTGATAGGAATGAAGCCAAGATGAGCCCTGATGGTTTTTAGTGGGATTTGGGAATGGCTTAGAAAGGAAGAGACGTAGCAGATACTTCCAGTAGTACCTTGAAAGGGGAGATCTCCACTCACTCTCACCTCTGGGTGTGTTCTGGCCTTCAAAAGAGCAGCCCCCACACCTCCTCCCTGCTGTGGGCACAGACATCCCCCCTTCTCCACAGCCCTGCCAGGTGCTAAAGGGTCTTGCACAGGTAATAGAACCATCAGTACAAATATATTCCAATTTCTGCCATTCTCACAGATTTGCCCTCTTGGCTGCTTGTCATGATAAGGTCTTTATGTGATATTTATGATTATGTAATATTCCTTCTATATTGACATGGATTATAGACCTCATACCTCTCACCCACACCCCCTTTCCCCCACATACCATATTTGTATCATAGCCAGGGACAAGTCCAGGATTTTATTCAGTTCATTTTGAACATTAAAGTCACTTGTAAGACATCAAATCTAGGGAAAGACTACACCAGAACAGAGGCACAGTTATGTCTTCAGCCTTTATTTCTGTTTTTATTAATGCTTAGGGCAGGACAACAAAGATTAGATGTTTTTATGAGACAGGAGAAAAGAACAACTGTTTGCTGCAACCTTGTGCTGCCAAAAATTTATAGCCCAAACCCCATTTGTCTGGCAGTTCCCTTTATCCAAACACTCAGGACATTAAGCTGGTGGCAGACAAGGGTTTGGGGTGGTTGTGGTGACCTGAGCTGTCTGTCACAGGTATTTTATCCTCAGCCCTGACACTCCAATCAGCTGGATGTGCCAGAGCCCCCTCCCCGCTCAGCTCAGGGCTTGGGAATGAAAAACTGGCCTCTTAAAACAAAAATAACTCCAGCCAGGCAGAGAAAGCCACAATCCCTCAGCCCTGGCAGGGTGGTGACAGAGCCACCATAAATACACTGCAGCTGTCCCTGGGAGCAGGGCCTTGGGGCAGGGGAGGAGGCTCTCAGGGCTCCCCTGACCACCCCAAACCCACCGTGGGCATCATGACCAGCCCAGAGCCACAGCCAGGGGGGCCTGCAATGGTCTGGCCCCATCAACCCCATGTCCTGGGGGAGCAGTTACAGAGACAATGGCTCTGGCTCTGCCCTTAATGACACCAGGGGGAGGTCTCCTCACTCCCTGGGTGCTGAGGAGGTGCAGGATGACCCAGCCTTGATTTGCCTTTGCTTCTTGAGCTCTCAGTGATGTTGGACAGCCCGGGGGTTGCACCTCACCCTGAACAGTTTGAGGATCTCTCCAGAGGAGCTCCAGGTTCTGACCATGTGCAAGGAACACACGGGTGGTGTCAGAAACTCCCACTGGCAACCAAATGCCAAAGGGATGGAGCATCCAGCCCTGAGCCAGTGGAAGCAGCAGGAACAGCACAGATGCCAAGCTCAAGGGATCTGTGGGTTTGGAGAAGGGACAGAACTGAGGGCAAACCATCACCAGTAAGCAGGGGGGCTGATGGGTGCTCATGTTTAAGAGGGCAGTCCACAGGTAACTGCTCCCAGGGAGGAACATCAGAAATTCCAGGTTCTCTGTGTCCCTGGGGATTGCAGGGGCAGGGGAACTGTTACGACATCTGTGAGCCCCAACCAACAGCAAGAGGGTCTTGCTGGGTCTTCAGCACCCTACAGACCTTTTCCCTTTCTCCTGGGGTTATTTGGGAGGTGATTTGCATATTTGGTGTGCCCTCAGTCTGTGAAGAACAGCCACAACAACTTCCCTGGATCCTGCTGCCTCAAAGTTCCATTTTTCCTTGCTAGTAGAACAGAAGTTATTCAATTCAGGAACATTTCTGCAAGAAACTCTGGCCATGGTTTACTCTTCCTCTGAAGAGGAGAGTTGCCATCACCAAAAGCCCAGGCCAGTGTTCAGCTGCTGTTCCCCATCACCACAACCAGCCCCAGAGCCCCTCACTGGACAGCAGTGCTGGCACTGAGGGCTGGTGCCAGTGCTGTGTCTGCTGCCTGGGAGTGTTTTCAAATAAAATAATAGAAAATAAATCGAAAAATAGTAGAAAAAAAATAGAAATAGATAGAATGAAGAGAAAAAGAAAGAAAGAAAGAACCACAAGCTTTCCAAAGTGCCAGAGCACACTGCACAAAGCCAAGGAGCCACAGTATTGATTCTGTGAGCTTTATAAAGGAATTAAGAGGCAAGCAGTGCAAGCAGAAAGGGAGGAATTTAGGAGAGCTGCTGTGAGGGGGGGGTTTCTTTACCTGCTCAGGGCACTGACAGTGCAGAGTTTCCCTGCCCAGGGCACTCTTGACTCCAAGTCCTGCCTAAGGAGGCTTCTTGTGCCTCAGGCACTGAGTGGGGAATGGTGTGGGAGCTGAGATTGGGACACAGGCACTAAACACCAGCCAGGGAAAGGGATGAGGGATAAATCTGCTGTTCAAAATGCAGCTTCCTGTGCTCAGAATCACAGAAT